AATAAAATATTGACATTTGCTATCTCCACATCATTGCATTCAGTTTTTATTCACAATTTGTTTAGTGTCCCAACTTTTTTGGAATCCGGTTTGTAGCTTATAAAGCCAAGAATCTGAAAATGGGCTTACCGGTAGTTTAGTTTGACAAAATATCACTCAAATCATTGATTTGACATGATGGTCACAAATATGACACAATCAATCAGTCAATCTATTTATCTAATTTCTAGAGTAAGCAGGACTTCTGGAGGTGAATATTCAGTTCTGCAATTCTCTTTAGTTCTGGTTGGGTTTAAGTCTTGACTCCACTGTGTGTGAAAGTTATCTACACAGTTAGAATTCATTCTGCTCAAATCAATCTGTTCACATCAGTGGTTAATGTGAGCCGGATCCTGCTTGAACAAGATCCAGGAACTCTCTCATTTTGACCGCTCGGCTCTGGCAACTCAAATCTCCATCCCTAAAAGTCCAAAGTCATCGCACATTTTTATTTTGATTATTTATTAAAAATACAACAAGGCGAGACGTTGCCCAGTCTGTGGAGTGGATGTTCCAGCCACACCACGCTCCTGCCAGCAGAGACGTGGACTGCATGTCCTGCGGGGAGCGTCTTCATCCACCTTCAGCAGTGCACCCTGCAGACCATTGTTTTACGCACAGCGTCTCCAGACAGCTCTGTAGGACGCACACACAGGAACTCCTGCATATATTACCGTGATGCATAACATTTCAGACAAAATAAATAAGCTTACAGTAAAATAAATACAAGTGAAATGTTCGATGTGTATTATTCACATAACATCACATATCAACAACGGCACTAATTTGTCCAAATAACAGCAATCAAAATGTCGAAAAGACCGTCCAATTTATTATTTAAAATAAATGGATGGATTGTCCTTAGCTGGACAATTGAGAATTGAAGAACCTGAAGGCAGTGGTAATTGAGATTGGAGCAGAACAATGTGCAGGACTGAATTCATCAGAGTTTGGGTCAGACAGTGTGTGTGTGGGGGGTTAGGACGTTTGACAGAATAGGAACTGCATTCACACACAGGCTTGTTATTAATTGTTGTTGCTCTCTAAAATGGTAATTTCAATTCAACCTTTATTTATACAGGTTGTTAGTCCCATTGAGCCTCGAGGACTCATTTACAAGAGAGACCTCTTTTTAATAATTAAGAGTTTTTCTTTTCAGCCAAGAAGAAAGAGTCTGATAGGAATTTTTTCACCTCCAATTCCTACATGTGTCCAGTTTCACTATTTTTTTTGGTCTGTCTAAACAGGTCTCACTTGTAAATGAGTCTTCTAGGCTCAGTGTGACTTATCTGTCTAAATAAAGGTTGAATGAAAATAATCAATTTAATGAAATGTTTACTGATGTTTAACAATCTGTTAAAAGTTTAACAACCTGTTAAAAGTTTAACAACCTGTTAAAATACACTAAAGTGCAGGAAATGGCATCTCTTTTATCTTTATTCCAAATTTTCTGGGGGAGGACCCATGGACCCACTCCCTGCAACACCCCCCCCACCACCACCACCACCACCCCGGACCGCCTGCTGTTTGCGTTCCGGCATCTGTTGGTTTACAAATTAAGCCCTGGTTTACAGCCCTACATGTACTGAGCTAACCCAGGTCTCAGTTAGACTATGATGAAGTGCTGAACATGGATACCTTCATGTCATTATGGAAGAGCTTTCCAACAGATGTGATGCATCCGTCTTTCCTCTGAAGCTGAGACAACCAGGACCTGGCATCTTTAACTTGCTTGGGGTCCACATAGATGTATACACTTGCACCACTGAAGGACTTCATCACAAAAGCTGTCAGCCTGGAAGGACACACACACACAAACACACACACAGAAATGACGAGAGCCAAGTGTAAGCCATGAAACTGAATCAAGTCAGAGGCTGGATGGCTCTTCAGCTCCAAGGACCCAAAACCATCCCGAAATCACACAATCTTCACGCTCATGTGGAAGTGGAGCATCATCAGTTCAACTATCCTGTTTTATTCTCAAGTACTTTAAACGTTCATTATCAGTTGTTATTTGTGTGTGTGTTGGGGGGGCGCTACAAAACATTAAATGCTCCAGATTCTCTAAACCACAAAAAAACACTCACCCACACAGTCACCAAGTGCCAGCAGCCCAGCCCCCTTTCAAAAGCAGACTGAGTTCATTAAACCCCCCCTCAGGCGCTCTGCGCTTTAAGCTGAAATTAAAATATTCATCGTTTCTGAAAAGAGTCCTAATAAAACAAAATTATTAGGATGCTCATCTTTGGCAGACAGCAGAAGGTGTGTACTGTGTGTGTGTGTGTGTGTGTGTGTGTGGGGGGGGGGGGGTTGTGTGTGTTCCTCCAATATGTCTGTATGCCATTTTTGTTTTCTTGTCACATAAAATGAGATATGAGAAGCAAATATTTGGTTAAATGTCATAAATGCTTCCTGAATGATGCAACTTGGTTTCTAGCCACATTTCTATTGATAAATGGACTCAATGGATTCATATTCAACGTAAATTAATTCAGTTCATGTTTGTTTAACTCGGAACAGAACAGTCTGATAAACAAAATAATTCAGTCCAACAGGAGTATGTGGAATCCTTTTGATGTCAATAAAAGACCTTGTTGTTGAAAAATACAAAACGTTGGTTATGTACTGTAACCCCAGATTCTATGAGTATAGGTGCAACCCTTTTGGGTTTATCCCTTCGCACGCAGCACAGCACTGAAAACTTTAGTCCGCGCCCACCGGCTGTGTGGCCCCCAACCCCGGTCCGTATAAATTACGGTGAGACCGGGCAATCGGCTCCCAAATAGCTTTTTTCTTCAGCCATTTAGGAACCAGTGAGGCCCAGAGCTTAAAGGGCTGTGCCTATACTCAGAATCTGGGGTTACAGTACGTAACCAACGTTCTATTTCGTATAGGCTTCACTCTTTAAGGCTATCGCTAGTGGGTTAAAGGCGAAGCAGGATGTAGTCTACGCCTCACTGGGTCCATTCAGACACAAACATGAAGCACCTGCTTGCACAAAAAAACATTTCATCACTCAGCCTTCTGTGTGCATAATTACGCGCTGCGTAAATATGTGCTCCATGCGCAGGAGCGCACCGGAGAAAAGATCTCTGGTGAGGAAAAAAGGCTGAGATAACAGACCTGCTGCTGTGAATAGGAACAACCGAGGTTACGAATTGTAACAGTGTAACGATGAACAGAGCATGCCAACAACTCCTCAGGATGAACCAATTAATAACAATAAAATCAGCAGTTATGAACTTGTGGCTGATAATAAATATCTCACACTGCAACTGCATGCAGGCAGGTGTGAGCTCAAAAGTGAGGCTCCATGAAACAAATAATTATCACAATCCTCAGTGTTTAGACCCATTTGCAGGCAGGCGAGCGAGGCAGGAGTTTAAATAAAAATAATTTATTTAAACAACAAAACAAAACGCTGTAGATGCAGCAAAACTTACTCTGGCAAAACACAATCAAGAACAAGACTGAACAGGACATCAGAGTAAACAGGCAGAGCAGATTATCAGGTGGATGAAAACAGACAGGACAGAGGAGGACTGAGCTGTCTGTGAATACAGAACAATGACCGGACGAGGAGTGGAGGAGAGAAATGCTTTTTATAAGACAGAGGGAGAGTGAGTAATGAGAGCACCTGGGCAGGTGGCTGATGAGGGACAGGTGTGAATGATAAAGACTGAGGACTGGAGAGGCAGACTGAGGAGTGAGTGGAAAATGACAACAGAATCAGATATATAGGAACAGAAATCACACAAAGAGCAGAAGAACAAAAGTATAAAGAGCAGAGGGGGGAACACAAATAAATATAAAGAAAACAGACAGGGACATAGCCTGTCAATAATAATCATTCTGTCAGAACCCTGACAACAGAATGGGTCATGGAGAAAGTAGAAACATCACGTAAATAAAAACGAATAATTGAACATGGCGATGACCAGGCAGCCGCCATACTCCATCGCCATCCTCCACTGTCATCCCTCTATGCAGAGCCATGGAGGATGAAAAAACCCCTCTGGTGGAATGTACTGAGATTCCCTGGAGGATCCAGTCCAGATGAACTGTAAGCTTCAGAAATAGCCTCATACAACCAGTGTGAGAGGCACTGGGTGTACACCTTTTAGAAAATGCTTCATCAGCGGATGGTTAAGAACTGTTCTGTCACTGAAAAACCTCATGACAGGAAGCAATAGCTGCAGCATAAGTTTTAATTGTGCCGAACGCTAAATTTCTGTCCATCAGTTGCTGTAGAAATGACAGCACGCCACCTAGTCCATAGTGGACATGAGATGGCCTCCACGCCTTTCTCTGCGCACTAGCGCTGAAAAACTGTCCACTTGATGTGTACAGCGTTGTGGTGGAAGCAGCTCGTGCGCCCTGAAACGTACGCACCACATCCTGTGGGAGGCCCATCTTTTCTAAACGGATCTGTTAAGCGGCCAGACCCAAAGATGCTGACCTATTTCTGGGTAACTCCTGATTGCTCTTCCTGCCTGGAGGAGAGCGCCCCCTCAGTGGGAGTTTCCACAGCCAACCCGATATCAGTCGCTACAGATTCGGGAACCACGGAGCGGTTATGCGTTCGGGAGCTACGAAGATGACTGACGGTTCTTCCTCCCGGACCCGGTCCAGGGTCCGTGATATCAGTAGGACTGGAGGGAACGCATAAAGGAGCATTTTTGGCCATGGGCTGTGAGCAAAGGCGTCCACTCCTAATGGTGGATCGTCTCGTGGGCTCAGTGAGAACCATAATTGACACTGGGCGTTCTCCCGTGTGGCGGACAGATCCACTGCTGCTCGGCTGAACCTGCTCCAAATCTGAGAGATCAGCTCGGGATGGAGGCTCCAGTCTCTGTGGCGGGGACCACCCCTCGACATGATATCCGCTCGCCTGTTCAGGACACTAGGGATGTACACTGCTCTGATGGAGAGCAGGTTTATGTGTGCCCAACTTAACAACTGTTTTGCGATACGTAACAGTTGGGCTGAGCGCATGCCTCCCTGATGGTCTATGAAAACTGCTGTCACTTGGTTGTCTGTGTGGATCAGAACATGCTGATCCCGCAACAGGGGGCAAAATGCTGAGTCACGTTTCAGACCGTGAAACATTCTAGCACATTTATGTGAAGCGACATGTGGTCCAGCCACTTTGCTCCCACTGCTTGGGACAGACACATTCCTCCCAGCTTGACAGGAACACGTCTGTGAAAACTGAGACGTGCGACGTAGGCCTGCTGCTGGGAACTCCCTCAGACAGAATGAGGGGGTTTCCCCAGTGATTCAGATCGCGTCTCACGGAGGGGGGCACAAAAATAATCTGCCTCTTCTGGCACACAGGATCTATGTGCAGGCAGGCAAACCATCTCTGATGGCATCTCATTTGAAGTAGGCCCAGCGGAAATACGATGTGGGCCACTGACATTGTCCCAGGAGTCGCATGACAGGCAGAACTGTCACTATGCTGCAGGGTTTGACATGGCGGAGCTGAGCTGACAGAGCTTTGGCTCTCAGCTGGGATAAACGGGCTCTCATTGTGGTTGAGTTTAGCTCCACTTCCAGATAAACAATCATCTGGGACGGACGAACGGAACTTTTCCCCAGTTTATAGAAAACCCCAGGTGTAACACTAGCGTTTTGGTCTGTGCGACTGAGCTAATAAAAGCAGATCGTCCAGATAAAAAGAATTCTCATTCTTGCCATGTGTAACGACTGGAGAGCCATCTCCACGCATTTCGAGAATGTGCGTGGGGTGTTTCAGAATGATGGAAATGTGAAAAAAATGTGCCCTTCAGATCTATGGAGGTGAACCAGTTGTTCTAGTGAAGTTCTCCAGCAGCTGTTTGATTGTCAGCATGTGGAATTGTCTCCCCATGATCGAAATGTTGAACATGAACAGGTCGAGAATGGGTCTCATCCCTCCGTTTTTTTTCAGAACCAGGAAGTTGTGGGAGGAAAAAAAAAGTATTTTCCTCTCCGTTGGGAACTCTGGAAATCACGTTTTTCATCAGAAATTCCTGAACTTCTGACTGGAGAGACAAGCTCTGTTCTGGAGAAGAAAGAACCATCTCTATAATCCCTCTGAACGGTGGGGGTTGAGCTGCCAACTGTTGCGTGTAACCCCTGCTGATCAGATGGTCCGTCCATCTGTCCGGGGAACACACTCGCTGCCACTCTGAGTAACTCTCAGAGAGTGGGCACGCATTTTGTGTTGTGCCATGTTTCTCATGAACGTCAACCAGACTAAAAAACCCTTACTGCCATCACCCGCTCTGGAGATTCTCCGGGGGGAACCCAAGGGGGGATCTGACAGAAAAATGCTGTATGTGTGCCTCTGTGCTGAGCCCAGGCTGCAGTCTCAAGTTAGAGCTGAGGTGAGCTGGCGCGCACTGAGAGGAGGCATGAGAGCTTTCTGAGTGAAATGCCGTTTCAGTGGAGGCTGCAGCTGTTGTGGAGAAACACGTTTACTCCCGCTGTGCGGTGAGTATGCAGAAAACAGCAGAAAATAAAAATGGGCTCTGGCTGAGAACGAGGGATTTTACCGGACTCGATCTGCTGAAAAAACATAATTTTTAGCTAACGTGGCAGACAAGTGTTTTTGATATTTACCAAACTGCAGTGCCATTTAAAGCGCTGTTTAGAAGTTACCGGCTCGTTCTGTGTGGGGAATGTGTGAAGAGAGGCAGCTGTGAGATCAGTTGATGTGACAGTCAGGCTGGAATCAGATGAAACTTTACTTTCAGAGATGTTTCTGTTTTATTTCAAAACATACATTGTCAAAAAACACACACATTCCCCTCAAGGAGCTGTTTCCTGGTGGAGGGGGCTGGTGGAGGAGCAGAGTGTGGAGTCGCTGCCGCAGCTGTGGCTAAACATCCGCTCGACTGCTCTTCTTCCGTCACTACGCTCTCCAGGAGGGAAGGGGCAGCGAGGTTGTTTCCAGCATCGCCTTTCTCGGAGGAAACATTTGATTCACTGCATGGCTCTGCGTCAAAGAAAGGCAGTGGCGTCGTCCTGCGCATAGCGTCCTGCTACGAAAAACACTCAGCGGAGCTGCTGCCCACATCGCCTTTTTCGAGGGAATCATCCGATTCACCGCAAGGAAAAAACGTTAGAAAAGGCGATGGTGTCGTCCAGCGAGTAGCGGCCCGCCATGGACAAACACTCAGCGGAGTTGCTGCTAACATCACCTTTTTCGAGGGAATCATCCAATTCACCACGAGGAAAAAACATAAGAAAAGGCGATGGCGTCATCCAGCGTGTAGTTGCCCGCCACAGAAAAACACGCCTCGGCACTTACCTTGAACAAGGCTGCTTGTCTCTGCTTCTGCTCGGGGAGGAAGAGCTCACCGGGATGGCAGGAAGTTGGCGTGGCGGAGACCCAGGCATCCTTAGCAAATGTTGTGCTGGTCAAAGCTGGACATCTTTTCCTTCTTCGTTCTTCTGACAGTGCTAGCTAGCTGGCTGAAGAAAAAATGGGAGCCGATTGCCCGGTCTCACTGTAATTTATACAGACCGGGGTTGGGGCCCACACAGTTGGTGGGCGTGGACTAAAGTTTTCAGTGCTGCGCACGAAGGGATAAACCCACTAGCGATAGCCTTAAAGGGTGAAGTCTATACAAAATAGAACAAATACTCCGGTCATCATGTTGTGTGTCACTTTCAAGATAATTTGATTTATTTCCTAACCTTGGTCCCAACATTCCTAACATTAGCCCCAGTTTGTTCATGTTACTGACCAGGTGTTTCCAGATTCATCACTGTTCCCAAAAGCGCTGTAGGAACCGTCGGTGTGCTTGTAGTTGAGCTCCCTCTGATATCCTACATCACAGACACAGCACAAACACAACAAGGTTTACTCACATGTAGAACACAAATATTGTATTACTGCTTTGAAAAACAGGCACCATCAACTTCTCCAAGTTCTTGCAGATCTAAACTGGGTCTGCTTAGCACATTTGGAATAAAGCCCGACCGATATATCGGTAGGGTCAATAATGTAGGCCAATATAAATGTTTAGGGGGGCAGCACGGTGGCGCAACTGGTAGAGCTGCTGCCTCTCAGCGAGCAGGTCCCTGGTTCAAACCCCGGTCAAGGGGCCCCTCTGGGTGGAGTTTGCATGTTCTCTCCGTGCATGTGTGGGTTTTCTCCGGGTACTCCGGTTTCCTCCCACAGACCAAAAACATGCATGTTAGGCTGATTGGTAACTCTAAATTGTCCCTAGGTGTGAGTGAGAGAGTAAATGTTTGTTTGTCTCGTTTGTCTCTATGTGGCCCCGTGATGGACTTGCAACCCGTCCAGAGTGTACCCCGCCCCTCGCACAGGGATTGCTGGACATGGGCACCAGCGACCCCCGTGACCCAAAATGGAATAAGTGGGTAAAGATAATGGATGGATGGATGGATAAATGTTTAGGGACTTATTGATATCCGTGATAAATGTCCCATTATTCGTCAATATAAATTCTTCTAATTTTCACTCCTAAAATGCTGGAACCAGCCGCAATTGTACAATGTATCCAACTGAGGGCGCATGAAGACTACTTTCAAGTCATGGCTGTTCACTTAAGTTTCACATTCAGAACAGCTCAAGCAGCGAGCAATACTGTGTAGCATATTTTGATGAACACAGCCTGGTAAGTTTATTTTAACTGATCTGTAAAATAAATAAAAAATCAACAATAATAAATTATCTTCACTCCTCCAACCTGCTTGTCATTAGCTATGTGCCTCTCAAGTTAGTAAGTTAATGTTTAGATAACGTAGAATAGACTATTGCATCTGCGTCGCAACCATTATATGTGAAGGGGATGTGTACCTCCCCAACACTAAAAAAAAAACATTCATTCGGACCTCCCATATTTACCAGTTCAATCAACACTTTTTCTCTTTCTTCGTGAACAAATCCATTCCACTTGATTAATATGAGAATACTCAAACCACTAAAGGTCCACTCCAGGTTTTCCTGGTTACCTACAACTCTCCAGCAGCATGCAGTGTTTCTCCTCTGCATCTCCTGCCTCGGCAGAGAATGCTCACAGGTGGAGGAGGTGGAGATCATAGACAACTGTGTGTTGCTCGCTTGCCAGCTTAGCAAGCTTAGTGAGAGCAGTTGTTGACAGGGATGGGTTTGATCATAAACCTTTATACATGGTTAGAAGGATGCTTGAGAGAATGCTACAGAGAGCTACGTCTTTAGCATCTTCGCTTAGCAATAACTGTGACGCTGTAAGATGATGTGTGTTAAGGTGCATTAAAGTTGAAATATCTTTAAAACCCCACACCTTATTGTCCTCAAGCTTCGTGAGAAACATCCATTTGAGCTGATAGTAGAGTAGTGTTGAAATTAGGGATGGGGCCGATCTGATCCGGTATTGGTACTAGCATAATTTACGTATCGGATTTTTCCGATCAAACCTGCCGATCTTTCTGATCCATGATGCAAGTCTGTGTCTGATGATCTGCTCTGCAGGTTGGCTTCAAATTATGGAAAAGATTTCCTGAACGAAGGCGTGTTTCATGAAACCCAGAGTAATAAGACCCACCTCACATTCAGGAAATCCATTTCATCGTTTGCAGCCAGCTAAAATGTGAGTAAATACTATTTTGAAGGCTGAGCACTGAGCAGCACTGTTGCTAACGGCTAACCAACTTTTCATCGTAACACGTGGAAATATTTTACACTAAATACCGCAAGAAAGCAACTTGAAATGTCTGCAGAGCCGCTGTATCTAGAGGGGGAAGCTCGGTCGCGACCTACAATACAACGAACTTAATAAACATTTGAAAAAACACCACATTAAAGAGCATGAGGATTGTTTAGCCAAGCACCGCCGTAAAGTTAGTTTTACATTGGATGTTCAAGGCTTCAGCGGTGTGTTTCTCTCGTTCAGTCCAGAGCAGACAGTCTGATTTCAGTCAGCTGCGCTCAGTCTGCCCGTCTCAGAGGAGCAGACTGAGCGCAGCTGACCGAAATCAGACTGTCTGCTTCACAGCTTGATTGAATATTTGCAGACAAGATGTAGTTTACATTTACCCTCCAGGAGATATTTATCAGCTCAAGATGAGAGTTTTATGATGGAGTTAAATTCAAAGCAGTCTGCTCAGATAAATAGTCTTAAATTATTATTTTCATATATGAATGTTTGTGTTAACTTATTTTAATGTTTCTGCACAGTGCCCTGAAATGACTTCTGTTGTGACTTGGAGCTATATAAATAAAGTGAATTGAATAGACAATCATAAAAAATAGTATGAACTGAAAAATAAAATAAAATTATATATGTATAAAAAAAGAAACAAAAACAGCTACATTATAAACCGATGTAAAATAGTAAAAACAGGAACATGTGTGAATATGGGGCGGCTGTGGCTGAGTGGTTAGAGCAGTTGTCCTCCAATGCGAGAGTTGGGGGTTCGAATCCACCAGCAGCCACATGCTGAAGTGTCTCTGGGCAAGACACTGAACCCCTCATAGCCTCTGATGTGTGCCCCATCAGTGTATGAATGTGATCTAAAGCACTGATTAGTCTCATTAGAATGATTTGTTCAATAAGCTCTAAGCTCTAAGAGATCTAGTAGAGTGCTGTATGAATGGGTAAATGAGGCACAGATTGTAGTGTAAAGCGCTTTGAGTATCTTGAAATAAGATAGAAAGGTGCTATATAAGTACAGTCCATTTAACATGTCTGTGTTGTTTTATGCCATGAACTTAGCAGATGTTTGAAGCCATTTAATCACTTTAATATCCACTTTAAAGCTAGGAATAAAACAAACAGTATGTTTTGTGTTAGCAGAATTTAATTCTAACTTTGAAACTTATCCAACATTAATAAAACTCAAGTTGCCTTTTTGGACATACATGCATATTTTTGTACAAACTGTACTTGAGAGGAGATTATTACAGCCTCATAAAATCAATTATGATCATGATATCGGAATAGTATCGGTATCGGCTGATATCCAGATGCAGATATCGGGATCGGATCGGAAGTAAAAAAAAAAAGGTGGATCGCTAGTTGAAATGTCTTTAAGTCCACAGCTGAATTTACACAAACTTGGTGAGAAACATGCTTTAAATGTGTGGAATTAAAGCAAGAAAATCTATGTGAAATGTTACTTTTTTTATATACTAGTGTACACTTTTTTTTACACACTGATGCATGCACGCACACACACCACTGTGTCTCCCCCCCCCCCCACATTACAGATGCTTCTGATGTCCCTGGACTATTGCCTTGTAAAACTTTATCCAGAACAAGAAATTGAACGTGGCAGTAAATAAACATTACTTAGTGTTAGTAACATTATCTTTGTCTTCCTCAATGAAATGCATTGTTTGTCTGAAATATTAACTTCTCTATAAAGAAAAATAAAATCTGCTGCTGTCAATAATAATGAGACCTTCACCATACGTGACCGACTGTTTAAACAATAAACAGGGAAGGGTGTTTCTTTGTTTAATTGATATTAATATCACATGATAATTTTATGGTGAATAGTGGAGGATAGAAAAAGTGAATGCACGTTAGGAAGACAGTTGTTATGACCAGTGCACCACTTGTAAACCTACTGTGGGACTACGTAGAGCGTGGATCTTCATGGTTGCTAATTCAATTCAATTCAGTTTATTTATATAGCGCCAAATCACAACAAAGTTGTCTCAGGGCAATTTACAGAAACATTCACATACATAAGAGAGCCAATTAGTAAAGTTCTCTATCTAAGGAATCCAGCAGACAAGTTGACTCTTGGCTTCGTTGCAGTCTCCCATCTTGAGCAAGCACAATGGCAACAGTTGAAAGGAAAAACTCCCTTTATAAAAAGAAGAAACCTCCAGCAGAACCAGGCTCAGGACAAGCGGCCATCTGCTTTGACCGGCTGGTTTGAGAGGACAGGAAGGGGAGACAAATGAACACAGAATGGTAGGTCCAGGTATAGGTCAAGGTGTCCCCGAAAGACAAAAAAAACCCACATGTTAAGGATAGAAAAAATAATTACAAATACAAAACAGGTTGAGCAGAGTAAGAAAAGACAGTAGCAGAGTGAAAAAGTGTGGTCAGTTTGTCCTCCAACAGTCTAAGCCTATAGCAGCATAACTAAGGGACAGCTCAGGAAACTCAAGCCAACCCTAACTATAGGATTTATCAAAAAGGAAAGTCTTAAGCCTATTTTTAAAACTGGATAATGTGTCAGCCTCATGGACAGAGATTGGAAGTTGGTTCCACAAGAGAGGAGCCTGATAACTGAAAGATCTGCCTCCCATTCTGTTTTTGTAAATTCTAGGAACCACAAGTAAACCTGCAGTCTGAGAGCGAAGTGCTCTGTTGGGAAAATATGGAACAATAAGATCTGTAATATAAGATGGAGCCAGGTTGTTGAGAGCTTTGTAGGTTAGAAGTAAGATTTTGAATTCTATTCTTGATTTGACAGGGAGCCAAGGGAGATAAACTAAAACCGGAGAGATATGATCTCCACTACTAACTACAGTTAAGACTCTGGCAGCAGCATTTTGGATCAACTGAAGACGTTTTAAAGAAGTATTTGGGCATCCAGATAATAAACCATTGCAATAGTTCAGTCTAGATGTGACAAATGCATGGACCAGTTTTTCTGCATCATTTTTAGATAAGATGTTCCTAATTTAGCGATAGTATGCAGGTGGAAGAAGGCAGTTCTAGTAACGTTTTTAATGTGGGGGATAAAAGACATGTCCTGCTCAAAAATAACACCAAGATTTTTAACATTAGAGCTGGAGGGCAGATTAATGCCACCTAAGGAGGGAGAAAGACTGACAAATTAATTCCCAAGGTGCTCAGGTC